CAGCATTTCACTGAACCCCTTCCCTTCCTCTGCATTATCAGTGAACCTTTTTTGATAAGACAAGCACCTTGTCAACCAGTAATGCCATAAATATGTCAGAAGCCTCTTCCTTCTCCTGCATGCAAGGCCAGGGCTGCACTTAAGGAGCTTTGCTGCAAACAGGTTCCAGCTTCCTCACTAGAGGCCATTCCTCTTCTGATTTGTGTTTACTGCTGCAAGGCAAATGCCCAACCTCCTGAACTGCCTCTGATGTCCTTTCCTTGTCCTTGTCCTGTCCCTTGTCCCACAGGATCAAGTGGGCTCCTGCTCACTGGTTTTCTGTGAATTTCAGAGCATCTCTGGGGGACCTTGGCTACTGAGGATGACATCAGGGTTCCCTTCCTTTGCCCTTGCTGAGGAGAAGGTGGATGCAGGCTCGGAGTCAGGACAGGCTGTGCAGCAGTGTGGCTGCTCTGCTCTCACCTTACTCAGCACAGCATACACATCAGAGAAGCCCTGTGAGGCCCAAGGTGATTTCTTTCCTCAGTATCATCTACATTGACCAGAGCAGGACACCCAGTCTGGGATTTTCACAGGTCATATCTGCCAGGGGAGAATATACAGGTAAAGTCAAATCAGGTGGGTTTTAAAACTCTGCCTATTTAAAGACCCATTCACTTGAAGCAACAGTAACCACACCAGGCCAGGTTGTAAATTTGCTACCTGTCCAAGCCTTTCCCCAGAGGCTGCTCAGGAATTGCCTTCTTTATCAGCTTAGAAAGGTAGCCATATACCTTCCTTCTTCTGGCTTATCTTTCCAGCTCCCCATTTGGGCTATCAAGTTAAACCAGCCAATCCCAAGGTTATGTTCTTCTCTGAAGCTAAACAGAGAATCTACTGAAAGAATATTTTGTTTCCCTTTCAGGCTCATATGAATCATAAACAAGACAGAAAGCTCTCAGACATCCTGGCCCAGGACCTTTGGCTGCCCAGCTCCACAGCTGGGTGACTGCCCTCTCATGGCCAATGATACTTTGCTTTCCTGCTTCTAATGAAGCTGTAGCCTTTGCCAGTGGCTCATTTCCATCAGGAATTTTAATCTAACCCCAGCTTTCCTGCTTATGTTTGCTCCATGAGAAACGCACTGGTACCAGTGGTACCAGGATGCTCAGCACCTCCTGGGCCATGCTGACTTTACAGAGCAGAGCCAGGCTTCCTTCCCTGGTCTGATATTTCTGCTTGCTAGTCACCCTTTGGGCTGCTTTCCCAGCAGGCTCTGGCTGCTGCCTTTTGAGTCTTCAAGCTTTTACTTCTCATCTTGTTTTAAATTCCTTCTGCAACTTCCTTTCTCTTGCAAACACTCTGATAAGTCATTCTCTTGTGATTTTACATAAATAAATATTTACAATTACTCTCTTTAGAAACAAAATAACATCCACCTGACACCTTTGCTGTCCATTATGACAATAGTTTGGATTCCTTCAGGGAAAAGAAAACCAAACCCTGATGATGGGGTCAGATGTTCCTTTTATAGAAAGACAGCCCCGATCCCAACTCCCCCAGTGTCAGGAATCATCGCTTGTTTCTGTGTCCTTTCTCTCACAAATGCTCGATGCCCCCTGCCCACAGCACAGCACCACAGTGGCTCCCAAGGTCCCTTCTCTGAGCTGCCCAGCCATGGCTGTCACCCCACACAGTGACACCCCTCACACCCACCCTGCTCTTCCCAGCCCACCTTGCCCATCACCACGGCTCCAACATTGTCAGTCAATAAGAAAACTCAATTATTTTCTGCAGCTCTGCCACATGAAGTCTGTCTGCAATATTATGCCTTCCCGAGTCAAAGGGGATAACCTAATGCCCAGTGAGATATAATGTTCCTTTTCTTCAGGAAAATAAGAGGACAAAGGCAAAGAAAATGTGAGGGATACTGCCAATAGTGTTCTGATATCCCACTGAGTTCCTTTAAACTGATCCACTATAATATTTCCAAAGGACTAAGAATCAATACTGACTGTAGGAGCCAACTGAATCCAGGGATGCACTTGTGGCATGCATAGAAGGCCAGAAGATGCACTGAGATGCAGCTCTTTTTCTTTGGATGCTTCTGGTAATTTAAATACTGTCCCATCTCTCTGCAAAACCTTGATGGGCCTGGATGAGTAGTAAAGGGGAGGAGAAGGAGAGGAAGAGAGTCTTTCTACAACCTGAATTTGGAATGTGGCTTCCTTCAGGCTGGTTCTTACAAGGTGCAGACAGGTTCATGTAGCCCTACTAAAAATGACTACAGAACTCATGCCTTCATCATGTGAGTGCAGCAGCTCGGGAACCTCAGCAGGGCAGAGCTCTGAAAAATAGATGTAAATGACACCACAAACACAAGTGGTGTAAGGGTGGGGTATGACAGGTTACCCTGAAAATAACCTGCTGTCTCCAGGGGCCGAGCTACCCACCCTGGGGTCTTCACTGCCATGTGGAACTACAGCTAGATGCTCTTATAACATGTTATAATACTTATAACATGTTATAGTATAATTCCCTGGAACATTTTCTCCAGAAATGACGCTTCAGCACCATGAGATTCAACTCCTTGGATCTGACACGACCCTCAAAATACTTCTGGAAACAAGGATGCACTGTTGCTTGAGGCTGATGGGACTCTAAAGTGGAGTTGGCAAAAAAAAAAGATCCAGATTATTCCTCTTTCCCCAGTTATTGTACAAACACTTTTCCACCCTACAGGCCGTTTCTCCTTTGCTTCCTAGGTACTGCTTTGGGATCTGTAAGCCTTTTTATTTGTGATCTGTTGCTATGCAAAGATGTGTGAGGACAGAAATAAAAGTACTTTTAGGCTAGAAGTTTCCAGACACACCTGGGAAATACCTGAATGTTTTTTCCCAACTATAGGAAAGACAAGCCATCACTTAAGAGCATTCTCTCTGCTAAATGGGATTAGTTCCAGAATTTGAAAGTGCGCTGTTGAAATTCATTCTTTAAATGTGAAATTGCATCCTGGTGCCGAATACAAATAACTGACTCAGCTGACAGTCAGAGAACATTTGAGCAATCACTAAAATAACTGAGAATGTAAGCAGAATTAATTCACCTGCAGAGTAAATGGAATTAATTCATCTTCTGTGCCCAGTGTCAGATTTCTACCAGAAAAATCAGAACTTACTGGTTTTTTTTCTTAGAAGTTTCTTAAAATGCAGATGTAACCAAAGCTCTGAAGGAATACCTTATTATATATATTTTAATACCAAATAGCCCTGATTAGCAAGTAATAATGACACATAGGTACGTCTCATTCCAGCCCTGTGGCTGTGAGTTTATGACAGAATCTTTGGCCAGCTGCTATTTTTCCCACATATTATCAAGCAAGCGTTGACAATTCGTACATGGCAGGAGCCTCACTAAGAGCTTGTTGGATATAAAGGTGATTTTCATTGTCTTGGCCAGAAGAACAGAGCGTGGGACTTTGCCATGGAGCAGACTGTGGGGTGGGGATCTGCCCAATGGGATCTTGCAGACAAGAGCCCAGGACTGCCCTCTGGAAAATGCTCCGCTGCAAGGAATAGGCTCTGGCATTTTCCTTCATGTTTACCTCTTCTACTATGGTTTCAGCTGAGATGACAAGTCTTCCCTCTTTTTAGGGGCAGGTTATTTGTTGAACTATTATTTAACAGGACAGCTCAAATGCCTTCTGTAGACACACAAGTGTGAGGCACAGGAGAAGGCAAGGGAAACATCACATTCTCACTTGCCTGTGTGTCATCTGCAGGTGTCAAAGAAACACAAAGGTCTTCAAAACAAGTTTTGAGGTCTGACATTATTGCAAAGCAATTTGGAATATATCAGGGAAAATAAATCCTGGTGATTTCTGTACCTCATTATTAACTAACCTCAACATTAGGGAAAAAGCACATCCCAATTGAAAAGAAATGGTAACAAATTTAAAGGCTTTCCAGCATCTTAGAGAGCTTAAATGTAAACCATTTGGTTTCATGGGTAGAGCAGAGGGATTTGAGAGCAAGAAAGGCTGTGTGCCTTTAAGTCCATGTCTAGGGTTGATTTTATGTATAGACTTAAAATACGCAGCACTGTGATCACTGTGGAAGCCATGGGGAGGATCTATAGGTACAGCAGGCCCTGACCTGCCAACCTCAGTGGAACCATCTCAAATCTGACACAAGGAACACAGGACATTAGTTAGAAGCATCTCTATTGATACTGAATAAGAGACAGAAAGTGGGAGACAGCAATTTGCCATAAACTGGTGGAAGTTCCTCAAAGAAGATGGGGTCAGAGCTGTCACCGCCTTTCCCCTTCCTTCGCACAGAACGTGACTGAAGGGAAGTCCTGCTGCTGAAACTGTAAAATCTATTAAGAGGGATTTCCAGCGCCCTGGCTCAGCTGACAACTAATTTGTTTGTCTTTGCCTAGCAGGGATTTTCCATGCAGTGGGCTCTTGTTTGCTATGTAAGTCATCCGAGTATTTGTTAGTGTCATAGCCAGAGCCAGATGATGTTTATTCTGCTAACATCCAGCCGGGCTCCGGCAGCACTCATTGAGGTCAGGGCTTTATTTATAGAAGCAGATATACGTTGAGATTCATTTTCTTCCCCTTGCTGTATTCTGCCTAAACTCATCCAAAATAGAAAGAAACATGCAGACATGCAAGTAATAAACTAATTGGGCCAGATCCATGCCTTAGCACAGCACCACAGAGGCCAATGGAAAAAAAAGCATTTTTGAACAGCTGAGGATCTTGCCCATTATTTCTCATGGGGAAGGGAAGGGAGGGGTTTAAAACCAGAAATTATAAAGCAAAAAGCAAAACCGACTAAGCAACAAAATGTCCTGACTTGTGGCAGAGCAGATCTGCAATGCAAAATCCCTCAGCCGGGATCTGCAATTCGAAGGGTTTTTTTTTCCTCCTGTGTTCCCAATCACCAGAAAGTGCAAGAATCAGAGTTCAGAGTGCTCCAAGAGAGGAAAAGTAATGACTTAAAGCAATTTACCTGCTGAAAATGAGAAGACATTGTCAGCGTACGCAGTCTGAGGCAAAGCAAAGCAGAAGAAAAGCAGCAGGTAAGATCCCCGGACAAGAGGGCTGAGGACCAACATGCTGGCTGTGCCCTGGCAGATCCCAGCTCAGAGGCACAAGGCTGCTTTGGGGCTCTCTCTCTCCCCTCTCTGCCTTGCCTGCTGTCTGCCTCTGCCCTCACTATGGGATGCGTGTGTCTGTCTGTGTACGTCTCCCTCTCTCTCTCTCTCTCCCTCTCTCTCTTCCCCCTCCCTCTCCATGCCTTTAGGAAGAAGGAATGCCAACCATTTCCCATTAAATCTTCTCCTTACACTAGACACAGTTATATTTAACTCCTGTGCTGGATCAGTTGCCCCTATTGTGGACATTAGCTGCTAAAACTGAGGCATGGGGGATTCTGGTTTTGCTAACAGAAGCAAAAAGCCTCTTTGGATAATAATAATGATGAGCAGCAATGGGAGAAATTAAGAACTGGGCTGTAAACAGAATCCTTCGGTACAGGCAACCAGACACTGGCACATCGAGATGGATAAAATCCCTGATTGATCATCTCCTACAGGTCATTAATTGCTTTAATGAGAGAGGAGCAGTGACCTACCATCTGCTCATCCCTGGTAGCTACGCATGTTGCGTTCGTGTACAGAGCGCAGCTCAGGGTGAGGGATGCCACAAGGGCTTCATGAACCTACAAACACATTATATTGTTTTGGATTTAAGTGAAAATGACAGTATCACTGACAGTGCCAGACACTGCAGGATTGCAGAGTTCACTGATGGGCTGCAAGAGGGGAAGAAACAATACAAGTGCCATGATGGGGTGAATTAAATGCTATCAGCTCTGGGGTGGAGATGTACAACACAATACACAGCGCACTGTGAAGAAAATAAACCTCCTCCTCTCTGAAAACCATCAGATGCCCTTGCCACCTGTACAAAAGTTTGGGGTTTCTGTGCCTTATTGCAACATGCAGGGCTTTACAGAGTAATTTGTGCCCTCTGAATAAGTAGCAGAGACATCTTACTCTCTGCCTGGAATCTGACAGTGGTTTCCATGAAAATCAGAGGTACACCCTTTGCTGTGAAAAACATTACTCTCTCCCAGATGGAGATGGTTTTCTTTGCCCACTGTTTATAGTTTCCCCCAGAAAAATGTGAAAAATACTTTGGATTAATTATGGAATTGATTTTTTTTCCCATTTAAGAAGAGTTCTCACTGACAGAAATGGTGACATGTTCCCCTGGGTATTAATTCCACTGAAAAGCAAAGTGAGATATTTCCACAATTCTGGTTAAACAGTCTTGGCTGTTACTTTCCACATACTGCGAACATATTGACAAAATTTTCTTAATGTAATGGCTAAACGGGAAGAATCACATCTGCCTTATACATTTTTATCCCTAAAGGACATGCTTAATAAAACCATAATGCTTTCTAAAATCTCTTTCCAGTACTACAATATTTTGGATAACATATTTTCTACTCTAATTTAATCTTATCAACTTTGTTCCACTGTTACTTTTTAGTATTTGGCTTTTCTTAGTGAAGTGAGTAATTTGGTCTCTTTCTTCTTTTACCAAGATGACCATGGATTGAGTGAGTGCCATTAGGTCTCTTGGCATGCTACATCTCAGTGGGAAAGGAATAGCTCTTGGGAAGTTTATCATCATGAGCCCTAAGCACACAAGATGAATGCTCAGCTGCAATCCCCATGTTAGAAGCCTGCATGGAGGCTGGAAAAAATTGCTCAAAAGTTAAAATGTCAAGATTGTATTAAAATATTCACCTCTGAAAATAGGTGACCAACACAATAGCTAGTCAAAGGAACAAGTGAATAATTTCAAATCCTGCTGAAATCCTCCTGCAGCCTTTAAGCAATTGAAAATTTCGGTAGAAATTTCTAGTGCAAAACAAGTTCTATTTGATAAGGAAATAATTAATCCAATAATAATAGAAAGAACTAAGATCATGCAGTAGGACTAATATCTTTCCCCTCCTTCTATACTTCTATATCAGAGGTAGCCAGAGGTGATACAGAGAGCCAGGGCTGCTTCAGTGTTACAAAAAACACATAAAGTTAGCTTTGCAGTCAATTCTTAAATAAAGACTTTTAAATCCACTTATTGCAGTGGAAAACCCCGATTGAAATGGAGGTTTTGTCAATGTTCTCCTTTCCTTCAGCGCAGCATCTCCATCATCCTGAGCCTGTTTGACCTGAAATGGCTCTCAGCCAATGAGAGAAGAAAGCTCTGTGGGCACACCCTCTTCTGTGGGAAACACACCATCGCCCACAAAAACTCAAAATGAGATGTTTGGAGTTATATTCATTTGAAGATACCTCTTCTTCATGATGTAGTTCATTCCCTCTTTAGATTTTAGTGAAGAGCTCTCATTACAGGGCAGTGAGCACCAGGCCTTGTCAGAGTGCAAGTCCTGTGTTCTGTTTCCTCTAATTTTGAGGTGTTGGCCTTGCCAGCTGAGCCTGCTGGCAAGGTTGGCAGTGGTTTCACAAGAGAAGGACAAAGTCCATTGGAAATAAAATGGACAATAGCTGTGGCCTTACTGACTGGACTCAGGCAGGTGGCAGTGCAGCACAGCAACATTCCCTGCTCCAGGCTGGATGGCAAGGCTGCACACCTGGACACACAGTTTCCTTCTGGCCTCTTGGCAGCAGTGCCTGTGGCAGAGAGAATCCTGAGGAGGGAACATGTCACATAGCAGGGGGACTCTGGCATGAGACACTTGACAAACATGTGCTCTCCAGGCCCTGAGCCCTGAGAACTTGCTCAGCCAAGCAATGCATTTCTCCAGCTTTTTTTTTTTTTTTTTTTTTTCTTTTTTTTTTTTTTTTTTTTTTTTTGTGGTAGATGCCACAGCAACTAAAAATGCCAAAAGCCAGCCAACACATAACGAAAAGAATGGCCTGGAAAGTATGTCTGTTCAAGGAGCTGTTGCTTGACCTTTTCAGCCCAAACTTGAAATCTTAGAAGCGTATGGAGGAATCTGGTGATGACACTATGATGTAAACAGAATTTATGAACCTTTTTCTATGCAAAAATTAATGAATACTTCTTAAAAAGAAAGCTCCTTCCCAGCCCTGTTCAATTTTGGTTGGCAGGTACTGCATCAATGAGACAAGGTAAAATGAATATAGTTAAAATACCATCAACCTCAAATTCTTTCATGAACACCATTCTAGTTTGGACAGAGACAATCATGGAATAATTTCGGTCAGATAGGTCATATAGTCCAAACCCCTGCAATAAGCAGGGACATTTCAACCAGGTTGCTCAGAGCTCCACCCAACCTGAATTTGAATGTTTATAGGGAAGGAGCATCCACAATTTCTTGGGGCCAACTGCTCCACTGTCCCACCATCCTTACCACAAAAAATTTCTTCCTTTTATCCAGCCTAGATCTACCCTCTATTAGTTGAAAACCATTCCCCCTTGTCCTGTCGAGATACTCAATATATAATTTCTAGTTCAAAAGTCTGAAAGCTCTTTTGCTGAGTGGGGCAAAGGTAAAACAGCAACCCCAAGTTAATGCAGTAATTCAATAACAGCTCGTGTCTGCAAAGCAGTACAGAAGAATCCTGTTCATTCAATTACAGCAGGGGCTGGAAAAGAATCTTTATAATTACATTTTCCTTGTGAGGTAGTTATTTAGCAACACTTGTTTTTCACAACAAAAATACCTGTTCGGTTCTGCACACTTGACTCAGTTATATCTAACACTAAGATTTAGTGCTATGACAACACAGCTAATGTCACTTTGGGAGATGGTGTCACCTAAAGCACAAAGGCAGCTGCTGAAGCAAAATGATACTAAGTGCAGAAACCCAGTGAGTGGCTTCACCATTTCCTTGCTGGTGTATTTGAATTTAATTCAGAAGGCCGAAGGCCATATAGGAACAGACCCTACCTCTGTGATGGAGCAAACCCAAGCACATTCACACTTGATGGAGCTCTGGCTTTCCCACAGCTCCAGCCGTGCCAGTCTCCCAGCTGGGTATCAGGACAGGAGCAGGTGCTTGGCTAAAGGCAGGCCAGCACAAGTCAGTCCTCACATTACCACCCACAGCATGAACAGGTGAAGGAGGACATGGATGGCAGGACATTCATGACTAGCAATTTCCAAAAGCAACTCCTTTTTGCAAATTAGGCATTTAATGGATGTTATACATTTCACAACAAGCAGCAGCCTTCGGGCCTCCTCTTTTGTTTGTACTCTCTGGTTCACAGAAATGCAAAAGTGACTAGGGAAGCCCATTTATCTTTACACTCTTCAGAGTGTATTTGTTTACAGACACCCCAGCTCTCATTCCATGTTTAGACAGTTCATCTTGAAATGTTAAAACTTAATTCAAAGACTTAGTCCTTCACTTTTTTTTTTCACTCCAATGAGTAATCCCCATGCACACATTTCTATTTTACTGAAAACTATAAAACAAAAGAGGTAAGGACATGATTAAAGCTTATGGGATAATTCAAAGTGACTTCCATCAAAGCTACCAAAAGCACCCCTCTTGTGGACTTGTAATGTTGGAGGGCACAACTAAGTAGAACAACTTTAAAACAATAATTCAGGTGCTGACCTTTATAAAAGCACTCTTCTTCCTCTTTTTCACTTCATTTTTCTTTTAAACCTCGCCTTTTAAACCTCCAAACTGCAGAACATGCAATGCTTCTTGGATGAGATGCACTCATCATACATGCTCACACATATGCGGAGAATAAAGACGTATGTCTAGGATTGTCAGGTTTTGAAAATCTGGGTCAGACATGCAAAACCTTAGGATGACTAATAGAAAAATGTCCTATAGGACAAAGAAGATGGTCTTGACAGTCATAGTCCCAGCCAACTGAGGTCTCCAGTCACCACTATGTAAGTAGATAAATTGTCTTCAGCACCCTCAGACAGTGAATCACAAACAAGTGACAGCTATCACCTAGTCTGGTCTTGGTACTTGCAACTAGAGGAGATGGAAATTGTTTGCAGGGTAATTTTTTTCATCTTCTTTTCATTTGGATTGTCTACTGTTTTTACTTTGATTAGTAAATGTCTGCAGAACTCACTGCCTGCACCTGCATTGCTGCCGTGCTGCTGGAGGCACAGAACACAGGAATATCTGGCAGTAATTGGCTCCCACAACTCCTAATTTAAGTGATTTATCATCTATCTTGCCAAAGAGCCAAATGAATTAAGCACC